TTTTTAAATCTAGGTCACACGCTGAAAATTTCAAGCAGGAAATACGCCGATCTATGCCGCACAAGGACCTGGAATTCGTCGCTGTCCATGTGCGTCACACTGACCAGTACTCGGTCAAACGCATGATAACCTGTGTCGCCCCCAAGTCATTTTACGTCAACGCCTTCAACAAAATGAGAACCCTCCTACCGGACAAGACCCTCGTGTTCGTCGTAGCCGGCAACAATCTGACGTGGTGCAAGGAAAACATCCTCGGAAACGACGTCATAGTCCTTCCCCCTCAACCGCCGGAAGTTCATTTCGCGGTGCTCTCCAGCTGTGACCACGGCATTGTTTCTGTGGGCACCTACGGCTGGTGGGCCGCGTGGCTCACGGGCGGTCACGTCATCTACTACACGAAGTTTCCGGTTGAGGGTTCGCACGAGGCAATACATTTCGTCCGGGAGGACTACTACCCGCCTGCTTGGATTGCTGTGGATGACTGACGTGTCAACATGATTTGTGGATACAAATACAAAAAAATTTTTTTTTTTAAAGTCAGTTGCTTATTTCAAAACTGCGTCCACATTTGATCAACTATGTGAGTGAGTTGTGATAAAGATGCAACACTTTAAGCATCTTTAATGAGATTCTCTGAGAACAAAAAAACAAAAACAAAAAAAACAGTCGACAGTCTTGCAGTGAAATGTCTGTCCACCTCTGAGGGAGATCTCTCTCACCTGGCTAAACATACCAGAATCGGTATTTTCCAGCGATTCAACTGTTTTCCCCCTGCGCAAGGATCTCTTAAATCTCAAACGGCCAAATCTCTGGTTCAGGTTTGCCACCAAAGGCGTCACAACAGATTGTTCTTTTTGCCCCGATGAATCTCGTGAGTTTGGCGTCAGACACCCCACGTGTCTCTGCCGCCGTTTCACACACAAAATGTGCAGAACCCTGCACGTTCCAACATCCATTTGGCCTTGACTACGGCAGCATCGACGAAGCGCAGCCCAGAGCACATACAGAAAGAGGCGTCCCCTGGAGCCCATGGATGGGGTGCACGAATACCCCAGTGAAATGTTTCCACAGAGTGCTCCGCCAACTCGAGATAAAGAGATGCGGGGTATGGTGCACCCATCCTGTACCCAACAGGGGGGGGGGAGGGGGGGCGCCACCAAATCAAGGACTTTTAAAGCCGTGTGGGGGGGAGGGGGGCGCCACCAAATCAAGGACTTTTAAAGCCGTGTGGGGGGGAGGGGGGGGCCGCCAAATCAAGGACTTTTAAAGCCGTGTGGGGGGGAGGGGGGCGCCACCAAATCAAGGACTTTTAAAGCCGTGTGGGGGGGAGGGGGGGCGCCACCAAATCAAGGACTTTTAAAGCCGTGTGGGGGGAGGGGGGGCGCCACCAAATCAAGGACTTTTAAAGCCGTGTGGGGGGGAGGGGGGCGCCACCAAATCAAGGACTTTTAAAGCCGTGTGGGACTGTAGCTTCGAATTTTGATTGCAGAGTTGGACGCTATCCACAGAGCCCTGGAAAGTTTTCACCACACTCTGCAGGGGTCGGAGCAAAACAGGGGCCCTACGTGCCGGCATTGCAGCCGAGTCCTGGAAGCACTAGAGCATCTGTTTGACCGAATGCCACTCACTAGATGTTTCGGAAAGGGGGGAGCGAGGGAGGCCAGGGTGGCGGGAGAGTCCTACGTGAGAATAATTTTATATCGCTCAGCTCAGCAGATGGAGCTGGTAGCCAATGTACTCGCTGGGGTCATAAGAGAACAATCTCAGACCCTCCTCAGAATATTGCTTTAATTAGTACTACAGTCTAACAGTCTAAACCACGCTGACAGTCGAGGCGGGAGTTTTAGAGGGCTGTTGTAATCGCAGATTTTTCTTCTCTTGGATCAGCCGCAGTACGAGGAGGATGACGAGTCCTATTTACTACCCAATGTGCGCGGATTGATGCTGCTCTAGATACCAGAATCGTGCTTGTCATCTCCTGGTGTCAACGCTCTGTCACCCTAACAGACTGTCTGTTATTAAGAAGAAAACAGGGCGTTTCCTAACACCACACCACCATCCCCCACTCACAAATTCTCTGCAACTGTGCTACTATAGTTGTCTTCATTATGCACCATAACATTCAAATTCAGCAGTCACATTCTCCATCACTCTTGGGGTTTACTCGTGCCCAACTAAAACACACACACACTTGACACACATGTGTGCCAGCAGCGACACATCTCTTTAAAAAAAGACGTTTTTGTATTTTTTAACAGAAGGTAGACATGGAAAAAAAAATATAAATAAAAATAGCTGTGAACGTCATATTTAAATTAATGTTGTCGTTCTTTTCCAGGGATAACTCAGGCATTTTTGAAGCGAAACACACACACACACACAAGAAATAAATAATAAAATAAAAGTTAAATCATACAATGAAAGTTGATTCTATTTTTCATGGGCTGAATGATTAGATGTTGCCTCATTTTTTAAGAGAGATTTTGTTTCTTTTTTTTTTTTTTGTTTTTTTAAAAAAAAACAAAAAAAAAAAAAAAAAAATTTTTTTTTGTTTGAAAAAAAAAAAAAAAAAAAAAAAAAAAACTGAATTTGAGAAGTGGATGCCAGAAATATCCGGAGGGGGGGGGTGTTAAACGTATGCCCTTGACTTTACAATCAACTACTAATATATTGCATTCGAAATTAAAGTTAGATACCATGTACACCGCATAATTGTGCCATTGGTTATTTTTAGATGTTTATTTTTAAACTCATTCAGCCATGCCGAGCGCACTCAACCGTATCATGTGCTGTGAACACTTCGTAAGCTGCGTGACGTCATCATTTGGGGGGTCTTAAAAGAAACAGTAGTTCAAGACTAACCCCTCAATATAGAAAATATATATTTAAAAAAAACAAATAAACAAAAAAAAAACAAAAAAACATCCGATTAAAATGATTGTTAGTTCCGCATCAATGAACAGGGCCATTCGATAGGAACTCATTGTTAGTTCCACATCAATGAACAGGACCATTCGATAGGAACTCATTGTTAGTTCCGCATCAATGAACAGGACCATTCGATGGGAACTCATTGTTAGTTCCGCATCAGTGAACAGGACCATTCGATAGGAACTCATTGTTAGTTCCGCATCAGTGAACAGAAACATCCGATAGGAAATGAATGTCAGTTCCGTATTAGTGAAGGAAAAAAAAATTCTGCATGGACCTGAATTATATAGTCTCGCATCAATTAACATCAACATCCGATAGGAATTGATTGTTAGTTCCGCATCAGTGAACATAAACATCCAATAGGAATTGATTGTTAGTTCCGCATCAGTGAACATAAACATCCAATAGGAATTGATTGTTAGTTCCGCATCAGTGAACATAAACATCCAATAGGAATTGATTGTTAGTTCCGCTTCAGTGAACAAAAACATCCGTGAGGAATGGAATCTTAGTTCCGCATCAGTGAACAAAACATCCGTGAGGAATGGAATCTTAGTTCCTCATCAGTGAACAAAAACATCCGTGAGGAATGGAATCTTAGTTCCGCATCAGTGAACAAAAACATCCGTGAGGAATGGAATCTTAGTTCCGCATCAGTGCAAATAAAATCGGCGAGGAACTGGATGTTAGCTCCGCATCAGCGAAGGAAAAAAAAACCAACAACATCCGCGTGGACCTGAATGTTAGTTCCGCATCAGTGACTCCCTGCTCGTTGTCCGCAATGGATGTAGTGGTTCGGGATTGTAGAAAGTTTGGTAGCTAACACTGTCAACCCTGTCATTATCTACTATTTAAACACATTTACCACCCAACACACAAAAAGAAGCAAAGACACGTCACAGCTTTTAATCCCATACATATTTTTCAAGACATGTTTATTCAACAGTGCATGGCTATAGAAACGTTATCGCGACCATCAACAACAAAGGTGAGACGGTATAGAATAGTGGAGGAAAAAATGGGCTTGTACACTGCTGCAACATCAAACTGGAACTCGTACCCCCCCCCCCTTTTTCTAGAAAGCGACGCTTCCATGACAGGCAGTTACGACTCATACCTGCAAGAACACAATACGGGAACTGCGCATTCCTGCTAAAGACCATCAGGGACTGGAACAATTTTCCAAAAAGGAGCAGTTGAGGCGACAGCACTTGACACATTTGCGTCTACTGCCTCGGGCCTCCCAACAAACAGTTGGAGATACGCTTGCTGAGTAGAACAGGCAACCAGTGAAATATCCTCTTCCATACCAGGCACAGAAACATTGCAAATCCCCCTATACATCAGTAGGACCCAGAATGGCCAATACACTGATGATCGTTAACCCTTAAGATATAGAAGAAGAATCCCGCTGGTGGCTGGTTCATTCAGATCCACTCGGCCGTTATATTCCCTCTTCGAGTACGACATCCACACCGGGAATATCCTTGTGATTCATGTGTACCATCCATAACTGAATCTTAAATAACACAATTCTGAGAAATTACAATACACTTTTTTTGGTGTCTTTTGCATGTTATAAACTAGTTCCGGTAAAATTGCTTGCAGGTGCATCTTTTTGTCTGATTTTCCTTGTCTTGGTTATTGTTGCGTCCGCCGAAGGAGGCATACAGTCGTTACTTGCGCTTGATGGTATTGATGTCTTATATTCATTTTGTCTCGTAAACTTTCCTTGATACTTTATTACTTAAAACAGAGAGGATTTCGTTCTTTAAATTATCAAGTTATGGCACTTTTTGTATTTTCAATCTTAACATTTAAATGTAAACTTGCTCAATAAAAGGGTTACTTTGAAACATGACTTACTCGTTGGAGAAAAAATAATTATTTGGTTATTTCAAATTTCCATTGATCAGACATAATTTTTTTTTAATTAAGCATTTTTTTTTCATCAATAAACGTGAACAATCCAAAGCATTGAAGAATAGTTTAATCATTTTGATAATGAAACAATTCGAAAAAAAAAGAAATAATGAACTTATTTTAAAAAAATAATACATATTTTTGGCAGATAACGATAAAACTTACACTACAATAACAAAATGTGAGTTTTTTTAATTTTAAAAATTAGTTTAAAATATATTATCTGAAGCTCTACCGGAACCTGAAACTGAATGTGTAACGTCTGTTAAACGTTGTTTTTTGCCCCTCCTTTTCAAAACGAATGAAATCGTCTTAAAAAGTGATCAAAGTTCAAGATTTCTGATCTCAATAGTTTCACTCGTCACGTGACATGGTGAAGGCGTTGAGTAGTTTTAATAACAATATCTCCTTTTTGTGGTCCGACAAATATAAAAAAAAACATATCTTTACATTACCGATATTTATAATGCAATATAATGGTTTTGAATGACACATTCGTATCTATATAATGGTTTTGAATGACACATCCATATCCATCGACACGACACAAAATAGATCAACCTGAGAAGTTTCAACATCTGTTTTTAAAAAAAATGTATATATATATTGCATATGATTAGACCATCACGAAAAGGGAAATTCTGATTGGACCATCTGTAATAAAGAGCCATCTGATTGGACCATCTTGTATAGTGTCCTCTGATTGGTCAATCTCTATGTTAAAGGCATCTGGGACAAATGATGAAGAGGCATTTGATTGGACTAGGACGCGCAGAGGCATTTTTAAAATTTTATTACGCACAGTAAACATAATTTTCATCACATGCAGTTCATTATACAGTAATTTAAATAACAACAACAACAACAATACAATAAGATTTTAAGATTGAATTTACCGATCATTATTTAAATAAAAGCAAACACTAATAATAACAACTGAAACGGAACAGTGAGAAAATCTATGTGTGTAAATATAGATATTACGGTACCCGTGTCCTAGTTTAGAGCACGCGACACGTCAATATCAAGGGGTGAGACAGTTGGAGACTCGGAATGTGGGTTGAATAAAGAATGTGTACGGTGGGGTAAAGTGGCACCCTCAAGAGGGTGAGACAGTTGGAGACTCGGAATGTGAGTTGAATAAGGAATGTGTACGGTGGGGTAACATGGCACCCTCAAAGGGTGAGACAGTTGGAGACTCGGAATGTGAGTTGAATAAGGAATGTGTACGGTGGGGTAACATGGCACCCTCAAGGGGTGAGGCAGGACGACCAGTTGGAGAATCGGATCAAGAGTTCAAAGAGGAATGTGCCCGGTGGGTAACATGACACCAAACAAATGAGCGTGGCCACTTTTGGCACTTTTTTTTTTTTTTAAAAGCCAGGTGGCAATATTTAAATTATTTAAAACCAATCGTGAACGCCTTTTCATGCAGGGGTTAGATTGAGTGGTGTTTAACGTACTGTAACACCGGCATATTAACGTCTGAATGACTCTGAATAGTCGGCATCGTGTACAGAAACTGAGGCACGCATGCCGGACCGGGTGGAATCTGGATAACTACAGAGCGATCGGGTGCCGTTTTGACGGATTGCAATTACTGCCCGGTGCGCGGGCCAGCACTGTGAGGGCCACTGGCCAAGCCACCGTGCACTCATGATATGTAACCGGCTAAGCGTTAACTCTGGGGTTAAGTTGTGCCCTGTCTTTTTTTTTTTTAACAAGAACAAAAAAATATCTAAGTTATTTGAAAGGTACGATAAAATATTTAAAAGAAAAACTATTAAAAATCGTTTAAAAAAAACAAAAACAAAAAAAAAAAGGATGAATATAAATGTAAAAAAAAAGTTAACTGTGGGGTTAAGTTGTGCCCGGGCTTTTTTTTTTTTTAACAAGAACAAAAAAATATCTAAGTTATTTGAAAGGTACGATAAAATATTTAAAAGAAAAACTATTAAAAATCGTTTAAAAAAAACAAAAACAAAAAAAAAACGGTTGAATATAAATGTAACAAAAAGTTCCCAACGCGTGTATGAAATTATACATTGCGTATTTCCGTTTCCTGTGTGTGGCGTGTTGAAGATTACATTCATTTTTTTTTTCATCATACTCTGTGTCGCAAGCTATCCAATCAATGGTTGCTCACAACACAATAGAGAAATCTTGCTTCATGACATAATCTTAGTTTTATGGGTGAAATAATCGATCATTGAAATAAGTATAAATATTAAAAAATATAATTATAATAAAAACTTCGTTAGATATAAAATCTTACGCAGGTCTTCTGCTGTGCAACAGTCGTTAGTTGTGAGGCGTGGCCCAGTTCCGTAGAAGCAAAGTGACCCTTGATCTCAATATTTGTGGTTGTTATTAAAAATTTATTAAAACAGTCAGAGAATTCCATTAGAATTAAATGCTGTCAAAAGGAAATTAGTCAATTTTTTTTTCTCTTTAAAATTCGGAAAATTGTTTTACCCGTCCATTTCTTAGAAAACTCTCTCTCTCTCTCCACCCCCACCCCACCCACGTGACCCCCCTAATGGGACTGGACTGTTACACATGAGTTTGAAAACCCAGTGGTCTACTGTAATTAATTAGGTACTAGAGAGAAATGTGAATGCAATTTTAAATACAAGTCAGCTTCAAACTGCTGCTATATAGGTGAAAGAAAGAAGAAAAAGAAGTAGAATTTTTCATGTCTAATTCTAATACGTAGCATGAACAATAAAAGGGTTGGGGGGAAGGGGGATACAAGTCTATTGTTTAATGAAATGTCCAAAGCTCCATGTAAAGTTTTATATTTCGATACTTCATCGATTGCAAGGCACAGTTTTTGGCGTAGACTTATATTACAAAGACCGTTTGAGTTAATTCAGTTTCACTCACTAACCGTAACATACAAAATATCAAAGATAGGCATATTATTAAATATAATAGTTTGAAAAAGTGGGTTGGGGGGGGGGTTATTGTTTCTGAAAACCAACTGTTATCCAGAATGAGTCTCTTATCATCCAATGGTTATGTAAGATGAGTATCTAATTGTTCAATGGTTATGTAAGATGAGTATCTAATTGTTCAATGGTTATGTAAGATGAGTATCTAATTGTTCAATGGTTATGTAAGATGAGTATCTAATTGTTCAATGGTTATGTAAGATGAGTATCTCTTATCCAAAAGTTATGTCAGATGAGTATCTAATTCTTCGATAGTTATGTAAGATCAGTATCTAATATTCACTGGCATCCACGATGACTAAGGATCCACTTGTATCCTAAATGAGTATATAATTATCCGCTAATATCCACTATGTGTACATTATTATCCAATGGTATCCGAGTTGAGTATTTTATGACCTCCCAGCAACCGCTATGACCATCTACTTGTATCTTAGACGGGTATTAATTATCCACGGGTATCCGAGTTGAATTCTTTATTATCCACTGGCATCCAAGAAGATTACCTAATGATCCACTGGTATCCATGACGGTGGATAGTAGTCGTCGTGTACGAAGCCTTTGGCCTCGAAGGATTCCGGAAGCGGAAATCGCTTGTAGTAGATGACGTGGCCCCCGGTCAGCCAGCCCGCCCACCAGCCGTACGAGCCCGCGGACACGATCATGTGATCGCTCGTGGCCAGGATGGCGAAGTGCTGGTCCGGCGGGGCGGGCTGGACCACGACCGTGTCCGGCTGCCGGAGGTTCTCCTCGCACCACGGCAAGTCGTTGCTGGACACGACGAACACGAGCCTTCGCCCCGGCAGCAGAGACCTCATCTTTAGAAACGCGTTCCTGTAAAAGGACGCCGGCGCCACCGTCGTGTTGGGCAGGGATTTCTGGTCTCGCTGTCGGACGTGGACACCGACGACGACGACCGTGTCGGAACCATTTTTCACGTCTTGGAGTAACTTGCCCCTGAATTCTTCCGCCATTGAGCTAAACATAAAAATAAAAAATAAAAAAAATGAAATTGTTAAATATGTAACAATTGTTTTTTTAGATAATAAACTTTATACAAATCATAAATTATAATATAAAATAAATACTAACTTAAAATTATAATTAAAAAATTGTGCATTTCTTAACTGTCAAGAGGTTAAATAAAATTGTTGTGCAGAGCCAGCCGTTTTAGTTAAAATTAAGGAAGTCAAGCAACAACAGGATTTTTAAATAGATAAACGGTTGTTGTTTGTTTTTTTAAACACTAGAACACTGGATTTATTGTTGTTGCATTTGCTAAAGAATCCAGGCTTTCTAAATACAAGACTTAAAAACGAAATAATGTAAAGCGTGATGGATATGAACTATTACCGCGTGTGTGCGTGTAACACAACCGTTTTTTTTGGTGACTAATATATCCATGTTTAGGTGTCTAACATTACCGTGTTAGGGTGTCTGACATTACCGTAATTAGGTGTCTAATATTACCATGATTAGGTGTCTAGCTTTACCATGTTTGTCTTTCTCACATTACGTTGTTTAGGCGCCTAACATTTAGGTGTCTAACATTAACATGTTTAGGTGTCTAACATTACCGTATTTAGGTGTCTAACATTAACATGTTTAGGTGTCTAACATTAACATGTTTAGGTGTCTAACATTACCGTATTTAGGTGTCTAACATTACCATATTTAGGTGTCTAACATTACCATGTGTGTGTGTCAAGCATTGCCATTTTTAGGTGTTTACCATTTCCATGTTTAGGCGTCTAAGATTACAATTTTTACGTGACTAACATTATCATGTATAGGTATCTAATTTCAACATTTTTGCGTGTCTAACACACCGTGTGTAGTTGTCTAACATTACCATTTTTGTGTGCGTCTAGTATTACCATTTTTATGGTGTCTACCATGACCGTGTTTGTGTGTCAACTGTTACCGAGCGAATGTTTCTAAATACTTGTGACTCCCGCTTGAACTGAAACACATTTCAACTGATACCATCGATCTCATAACAAAGGTGTCCATCTTACCGTTACACGTGGAGCCAAACAGGTTCAAAACCAGATGCATGAAATCTATAACAGGGGCGTCCCCCTCCCTCCCCCCCCCCCCCCCCAACATTAAACAAAAACCGATAAAACTTGTATTAGAATCTCTATACTTAACATGCAAACAACTATCTTAAACCGGTCGAACATTGTTAGGGACTTATGCGAGCTTGACAGGCAACACAACCAGGCAAGAAAACCAGGCAAGAAAACCAGGCAAGAAAACCAGGCAAGAAAACCAGGCAAGAAAACCAGGCAAGAAAACCAGGCAAGAAAACCAGGCAAGAAAACCAGGCAAGAAAACCAGGCAAGAAAACCAGTTTCGATAGTCTTTGTAATAGTTTAGAAAAAGCAGCACCAAAAAAAATCAAGAACGTACCGGCTGGGCCTGTCATTGGGCCTGTCACTGGGCCTGTCATTGGGCCTGTCATTGGGCCTGTCATTGGGCGTTTCATTGGGCGTGTCATTGGGCGTGTCATTGGGCCTGTCATTGGGCTGTCATTGGGCGTGTCATTGGGCCTGTCATTAGGCCTCTCATTGGGACTGTCATTGGGCCTGTCATTGGGCGTGTCATTGGGCGTGTCATTGGGCCTGTCATTGGGCCTGTCATTGGGCCTGTCATTGGGCTTGTCATTAATATCACTTGAAGACCTAAACTACCAATTTTCACTGTTAGTTTTAAATTAATATCACTTGAAGACCTAAACTACCTGTTTTCACTGTTATATTTAAAGTATTATCAATTTAAGACCTAAACTACGTTTTTTCACTATTAGTTTTAAGGTATTATCAATTAAAGAGCTAGACTACGTGTTTTCACTCTTAGTTTTAGGGTAATATCAATTAAAGAGCTACTTACATGTTTTCGCGGTTAGTTGTAAATTAATATCAATTAAAGAGCTAGACTACGTGTTTTCACTCTTAGTTTTAGGGTAATATCAATTAAAGAGCTACCTACATGTTTTCGCGGTTAGTTGTAAATTAATATCAATTAAAGAGCTAGACTACGTGTTTTCACGGTAAGTTTGAAGCATGAAACAAGCACAATTTAACTAAACGTTTTAAAATATATTTTTCTTTACAAATTTTTTTTTTTTTTTTTTTATAAACTCACCGGTGTTTAGGAAGGAACTGGAACTCTCGCCTGATCTCGTCCTTGATGGCGTCAAAGTATCTCCAAGACTGGACGTAGCCCCTGAGTCGGACGTTGGTCGGTGGCAGTTTTTTAAACACGTCGTCGACGGTGGCGTAGTTTTTCTCTTCTATGAGCGGCCATCTGGCGTGGCCCGGGGGGAGGGGGGAGGGGAGAGAGGAAAAGGAGAAGGGAACAACCACACAACAATAGAGATGTTAATGGTTGACGTGATCTAAAAATATCGGGGAATGATACGCCAATGGAAATAAAAAATTTATAAAAAATGATTCCCCCACCCTCACCTCAGCCCCATATGCCGCGTTCCAATGATGTTTTAGGCATGAAATAAGGACACATTTAATTAAATTATGATCCCTACATATAGCCCGACGGACATCGGTGACGGCAATGCGTGAGCTTCCCATCTACTCAAGTCAGTTGACAAAAACATGAGCTCAAGTGACGCACGTTTAAGAATTCACAACAGCAACAACAACAATAATTACAACGATAATAATAATAATAGGTTACAAATAATTCAAAAAATGAATGTAAACATCTAAATGGATAAATGGGTCAGTTGCGCCCGCTTCGCCCATGCCATATTACATACCTGGAGATTTCGGAATGCTTCTCCACGTGCGTCAAGTTGAACACCTTGGCCATGTCCAGGTCCTCCTTGTAAGGGTTCACGAACGCGTGCCTCCCGTGCGTTCTCGCCAGTCCCAGCAAGGACGCGTACTTGAAGAGTTTGTTCCCCATCCTCCCTTGGTCGTGGTTGATGGTCAGCGAGTAGGTCACGCTGGTGCCGTCTGCGGTGGGCGAGGGTGTGAGCCTTTCCCGGAGGCTCGGCCACGACCAGGCCCCGTACAGGAGACCGGCGACGCAGAGCAGCGCTGGTCCCGAGAAGACGACGACGCACTGGAGAGAAAGTCTCCTCGCCATGACGGACGAGACGCGGACACCAAGGTCGGAAGCCGTGTTTGTTCGGGAACCTTTCCGCTGTCACTCCTGCACGACTGAAATACAACACCGGGTCAGTTACAGATAAGACCATCGCGACGGTGAGTTGTAAGATAGACGGTTGGAAATGCGATGCCGGTGTAGGGTCGTAAGTTTGCGGCTTATGGGAGATTTCAAGTGGGTCAAGCACATTTTTGAGTATTTGCCTAAGATAAGAATACAACTGATCCGCTGTAGTCAGCCAAGACACAGGCGTGCACAACATACAGCCCGCGGGCTACTTGCGGCCCGACGGCACCCTTTTTGTGGCCCTCGACGTAACGAAACATTCTTTATTATTATTATTTTCTTAATAACACGCCCCCCCCCCCATCCTATTTTCTTTCGGTCCGCACACGATTTTCATAAAGCCTTACATCTTGAGTCGTGCAGGCCTGCGTTAAGACATTCTTTAAGATGTTTGTGACGCAGAACCTATGGAAGTACTGAGAGATTCCCCCGAAAGAGCTCTCGAACATTCGGCTGTAACCCTCATTACGGTTAATAAATCTGAATTTAAAAAAAAAAACATGCTAATGTGTGTACAAAATGTTTTGCGTGTGACACACGCCACTTAGGGGGTTTTTTCAGCTGTTTTTGTTTTGTTTTGGTGTGGTTCCCCAAAACACATTTCGACACGGCGCCCCAGATCCCCCACGGCGCCCCAGGTCTCCGAAGGACCAACCTACATATTTGTCGTTGCTTTAAATAATAGTCGAGATGTTGGGGCTTCAAACAGTGAAATTTGAATTCCAAAGTTGACAATAACTAAAAAAAAAAAAAAAAAAAAAATTGAAATATATAATTTCATAAAAATAAGATATGCCCTATGAATAATTTCACGTAAATGCAATTCATTATATATTATATTCATTATCTCATTTTACTTCAAAACCTAAAACCTTTACTATAAAAATCTTTTTCTACAATCATAGTTTTTGTTAGTTTTTTTGTTTTATCATGGCTGCCCAACTCTAAAACTCGTTGCTTCTCATGACCGAATCAAACACTCTGATTGGCCAGTCTTTAAAAGTCCCGATACTCTGTATTACATGCACGGGGAATATAGAATCTCTTATCTAAAGGTTGCTTCTGGCGTGTCCTGCGTGCCCCTTGATGAAGATATCATAAAGAAAAGATGAAGGTGGACAGGGCATACGCTCCGAAAACCCCCCAGATAGCACCACCAGTCGACCATGCCTAACATGGAACCCACACGGAAAAAGAAAGAGAGGAAGGCCTAAGAATACACGGAGACGCGAGCTAGAGGCAGACACGCACATTATGGGCTACACCTGGAAGCCATTGGAAAGGAAAGCACAGTACCATGATGAGTGGAACGTTCTTGGAGACGGCCTATGCCCGAGATGGGGTAGAAAGGCATAAGTAGGTAAGTAAGTAGGTAAGTAAGTAAGTAGGTAAGTAAGTAAGTAGGTAAGTAAGTAGGTAAGTAAGTAAGTAGGTAAGTAAGTAAGTAAGTAAGTGTCCTGCTTCATCATTAAAAACCTCGTTCCCCAAACTCCATTTGTTTTATATCGATAGGGGTGAGTTGAGAGAAAGTCCGTCACGCAGCCAGCGTCACGCGTGACGGTCGAACTCAGGTCAACAGTTGTTGGGTTGCTGTTGTTTTGTTGTTCTTTTCCTTTTTTTTTGGTAAATCGGGAAAGGCAACTATTATATGAATCAGTAAAGAGCCACCTGTATGATCTTTAGGACTATTTGTCAAAGGTAGGCAGGTAGGGTGTAGGACTGTCTTTAGGCCTACTGTTTAAAAGCCAACATATGAAAGAAAATGTGCAGTCAATTATTATTATTTTTGTGTGTAACTCTTGGACCCACCGGAAATTTTCTCGAAATACCCGGACCAGGTGTAAAAAGAAAAAAAAACTGCTGTGATAACATTCCGCGACTGAGTCAGAGGCGTCTGACCAGGTGCAAAGGGTGCTACATACGCTGAGCTGACTTTAGGACTTATGTACAAATCCTAATCTAACTTTAGGGATTATGTTCAACATACACTGAACTGACTTTAAGACTTTTATGCGTCATACCCTAATCTGACTTTAGGACCTATTTACAAAATAGCTTAATCTGACTTGAGTGATTATGTTCAACATACACTAGGCTGAAATAGGGACTTACATACGACATACCCATAAGTTGACTAAGCTGACTCTAGTACTTATATATAAAACGTTAAGCTGACTCTAGTACTTCTATATAACAGACGCTATGCTGACTCTAGTACTTATGTATAACTGACGCTACGCTGACTCTAGTACTTATATATAACAGACAATATGCTGACTCTAGTACTTCTATATAACGGAGGCTATGCTGACTCTAGTACTTCTATATAACAGACGTTATGCTGGCTCTAGTACTTCTATATAACAGACGCTATGCTGGCTCTAGTACTTCTATATAACTGACGCTATGCCGACTCTAGTACTTCTATATAACAGACGCTATGCCGACTCTAGTACTTCTATATTACAGACGCTATGCTGACTCTAGTACTTCTATATAACAGAAGCTATGCTGACTTCATAACTAATGTACAACAAACCCTGAGCTGAATTTAAGTCTTGATTAAACATGATAAGAGTTCCCCTGAGTCCGCTTATCTCTTTCTTATCGCTGCTCTTCAACTTATCAGATAGACCATGTGTATCGATGAGTCTCCGAGTGGTTGAAATCCCATGCCTATGGACTGGAGTTCAATTTCCAGTGTTAACAAGAAAAAACAAAAACAAAAAACAACAACAAACCCAAACACACAAACAAACCAACTCAGCATCCCTGGATACTTGGGACTCGTCAACCCTACGACTAAGACAAGGCAAACTCTGAAATCAAACCCCAGAATTGGAGTCCCGTATGCGGTATGACGACACACAAAGAAAAAATTCCGACAAAACTCCTATGACGTGGAACGTGTCAGAGCGCAGCGAGACGCACAAGACACACTACTGGAGTGAGACGCACAAGACACACTGCTGGAGTGAGACGCACAAGACACACTGCTTGAGTGAGACGCACAAGACACACTGCTGGAGTGAGACGCACAAGACACACTGCTGGAGTGAGACGCACAAGACACACTGCTGGAGTGAGACGCACAAGACACACTGCTGGAGTGAGACGCACAAGACACACTGCTGGAGTGAGAAGCACAAGACACACTGCTGGAGTGAGAAGCACAAGACACACTGCTGGTCGTCGGCTGTATCCTCGTCTGTTTCCAGTCGTCCTGACTAAGTCTTGCCATTGGATCAGATAGGCAAAGACGAGCAAGTGAGGCTGGTGAATTGAGCAACTCCACCTCATTTTTAAACAAAAATACCGCCCAGCCGAAACCTTGATCATTTACGCATGCGTGGGACGAACTCTATGATATTGTACTTCTATTAATAGACATCAATGTTAGTTACTGTGTTGATCTTGACAAATAGAACCATGTATAGATAGAACTATTGATAGAACTATTGATAGAACTAATGATAGAACTATTGATAAAACTATTGATAAAACTATTGAAAAAACTATAGATAAAAACTATTGATATGACTATTGATAGGATTATTGACAGAACTAGTTACATAACTATTTACAGAACTATTCACAGTACTATTGACAGAACTATTGAAATAACTATTGTCAAAAGATCAAAAAGTGAAAACATTACCAGTATTAAATGATCTCACCTCATAAAACTCCACGATTTCAGAAGGAAAAAAAGCCCTGCTATGTAGGAAGTCTTCAGAACCACGACCCGCCTGTACCACAGAGCTCGAGAACCGCTGACCTGTACTTACTACAAACCTTGAGACCCGCCGGGCCAGCTGTAACCGCAAACCTTGAGCGAGACCCGTGCCAGACGCTTGAGACCAGGTCGCCCCCCTGTGCCCCAAAGATAGTCATGAAAAACTGAAAAATAAAACTTGACTAAATGACTTCACAGCTCGGTCGTGTTACTTGTCATAGAAATGAATGCCGCCCACTCATCTGTGTTCGGGTGTAACAACTGGTCTTTGTTCTACTTTATACACTCTTTTTTATTTTACTTGACATCCATGAACGCTCATTCCACTTTTCCACGCATTCAAGTTTAAAAGCTCACCAAATCCAGTGACACCATATGGCAACAGCACAGGCCAATCAGGTCTCAAAGTTCACTCACAGCTCGCAATAGTAATCGTTAGTCATACAGACTATCCCATTACTCGCCGAGTCACTTGGAGTGGGGTGGGGGTGGGTGGCGGGGGGGTGTCACGTAATAATGAGTGTGTGATTATAGCGTTTGTGTGTGTATGTGTTTGTATTTGTGTTAGTGCGTGCATATACATATATATTATAAATATAATCTACTATGACAAGTAGGCATATTGATATGTCATTGTAGAGATGATTTGGGGTAGTGGTCAAATTTAAATGGATAGCTGATTATAGAAGTTAAGGAAATATATAAATATGTGATTTTGGATCAAATCAAATATAAAGTGATGCGTGTGATTTTGGACCTAATCAAATATAAGGTGATGTGTGTGATTTTGGACCTAATCAAATATAAGGTGATGTGTGTGATTTGGGACCTAATCAAATGTTAAGTAATATGTTTAATTTGGGACCTGATCAAATATGAATTAATGTGTTTAATTTTGGACCTAATAAAATATAATGCGATGTATGTAATTTGGATCTAATCAAATATTAAGTAATGTGTGTAATTTTGCACCTAATCTAATATAAAGTAATCTGTGTAATTTTGGACCTAATCAAATATTAAGTAATGTGTTTTGGTCCTAATCATATATTAAGGAATGTGTGTAATTTTGGACCTAATGAAATATAATGTGATATATGTAATTTGGACCTAATCAAATATTAAGTAATGTGTGTAATTTTGGACCTAATCAAATATTAAGTGGTGTGTAATTTTGGTCCTAATCATATATTAAAGAACGTGTGTAATTTAGGACTTAATCAAATATAAAGAAACATGTGTGTAACTTTGGCCCAAATAAAAAATAAGTGATGTTGGTAATTTTTAAACT